TGCCCCTAAACGCGGCTTCCAAAATGGGATTTGGGGTTTGGAGGGGATTTTTTGTTTGGGTTGGGTTTTGGTTTATTTTTTCCCGGCAGCTTTAATTAAACCGCGGGAATGCGTGCGTGGAGACCAGGACCCCCAGAGCTGCGTGGTCCCCCCTTACCCACCCTAACCCCAACCCTGCCCCTGACCTTGACCCTCTCCCTGGGGAAATCCCACCGTGTGCCCCACCGCCGTAGGGTTCCTGCCCTTCCCCACTCCCTGTCCTGCCTTCGGCAGTGACAGTGGACACCAGTTACCAGATCCAGCTGGTATTTGGGTGCCTGACCCTGCCTTGGGAGCTCAGCATCCAGCTGAAGGGGTGGGAGAGGGACGGTGATGAACCCTGAAGCTGACCACTGAACCCCTTCCTTCCCAGCGCCTGCTCCGCCGCTCTCCAGCAGCGACATCGTTCATCCCATCAAGGTGGACGAGAGCGGATCGTTCCTGTCCTACGAGTTGTCCCACCGAGCGCTTCACCGGAGGTCCCCCTCCTCCAGGAGCAAGTTTTTCGCCTTCTATGAACTGCGTTACCAAGGAGAACCCCTGAGATTCAACCTGAGCCTCAACAACCACCTCCTGGCGCCCGGGTTTGTCAGCGAGAGGAGGTACGGGGGGATTGCGAACGCCAAGATCAAGTCCCATGCGTACAACTCCTGCCACATGATCGGGGAGGTGCGGAGCCAGGCGCCGCGGGGAGGTCTGGCCGCGCTCAGCACCTGCGATGGGCTGGTGAGTACGGGGGGTTTGTCTCTGAGGACATGGCAGACGCTGTGTGAAATCCTTTTTTTCTGCTGGAAGTGATAACAAAACTCCTCCCGCCAGCAGCAGAGTCAGGATCCCATCACGTAGGTTTGATGCGGCCGTGGAGGAGCTGACTGTAAATTTCCCACGGATTCCAGCAGTTTGGGAACTCTCCGGGGCTGTTTCCTTGTTTGTGTTCGAGTTCTCAAAGAGAGCACTTCTCATATCGCCTCCGCCTCTCGTACATAAACTGGGATTATGAGAAACACATCTGAAAGCAAGGTATTCGCTGCCGGGAGGGATTTATGATAATGCAGC